CAATAATATTGTAAATTTTATTGCATGCATGAAAGCAGTGACGATCACAAATCACACTTCCAAATTTGCACCAAAGTTTGTATATTTACGTGACATCAAATTAAATCAAAGGCTGTGAAATACAGTCATCATCAATTAATCTTTAAATAACCAACAAAACTTACCTTATAATTGTCTCTATATTTTTATATATATATATATATATATATATGTTGCACGCATGCGCAACAATGGATGCCACCACCTTCATGGGTTCAATTTTGTTTTTATACAAGAAAAAAACTCTAGATAATTTAGGTACTGGGACCTACAAGGGTCAAGGCATGCCTCTAAATTGAAAGAATGTTTATAGGTTACAGACTAAATCTATACTAACTTAACTAATTTTTATTGGTTTCATGGGTTGAACTTTGGATCATGGAAAATAATATTATTTTTTAATTAAAGTATGTGTTAACATTTTTTTTAATAAAAGAATTAGTTTGCCAGAAATAAATAAGAAATTGTGAGGGGGAGTGCAGGCTAGATCCCTTTAGGTAAAATCAAATGGTGTGGACAACTAATTAATTATGAGGTTTTTGTTTAATTTATTGATTAATGAAGATAGATCCATCCCTAAGTTGAGTCCTTATATATAAAGGTCATCATCCTCTCTAGCATTCTCATCAGTCTCTGCTATACTTGATGATAATTCTCATCTGTTTATTTTCCCTCTAGCTCAAAGCAAGAAACTTTCTATAAATGGCATTTTCACTGTTTCTATATTACAGTTCCTGCTTCTTCTTCGCCCTACTTTAATTTCTTCTTCCCCACTTCAAGATCCTGAGCTTGTAGTTAAACAAGTTGAAATGTATGTTATCTTCTTCATTTCTCCATCTCTGTCTGTCTCTGTATATATATATATATATTGCAAAAGAAAAAATAGAAAGTATAATATCTAGTCTGCATTTAGTACATGGAAAAGGGATTTAATTAGTTCAAAGAAAAGGGTGAGTATTTTATAGTTGTATTTAGTAAATGACAAAATGGGTTTTTGTCTTAGGGGATAAAAAAAAAAGCTTCCGATATCTTTTTTTTTTAAAAAAAAAAGCTTCCTATATTTATGGGTGAAAGATTACACATTTTTTGTTTTTTTTTTCTCTTGATACAAGAAAGATTTCACATTTTCATTTTGTAAGGAATATGAGCCTGTTTTCCTTTCCTTTTTTTCCTTTTTTACCTTTTTTAAATTTTTTTTTGCTTATATTAATTTCCTTCTACATAGTGAGGGTTAAGGACTATATTTATACAATTTTTTTTGTGTTTTTAATGATTTGATATATATTATGATATGTAATAGGGTTAGTAAGTATTCTGGACTACCAAATATTATGCAAAAAGTATCATTGATCCTAAACTCCTGAAATGTGTAAAATAGATCCTAAACTTTTAAATCCATAGTAGATTATACCATATCGTTAACTTATAGATAAGTGTCATTATTTTTCAATTGATGAGTTCCAGTTAAATAGTGACGTGGCAGTTGTCCATCTTGATGTGTCTCTTAGTGATTCCCTGATATTAATGTTGCCCTCATATTGTGGTAATGGGAGTTAAGATCCTTTATTGTTTGAATCATCTCTTTGTCAGTAATCATCATCAACCACCCACTAAATAAGTTTGCAAAGTCGATAGGACCTATTGAGGAAGGCTATGAATGAATCATCATCGTTATCATCATCATGTAAAAGTAGTAGGAGGAAGGTGAGACTATTGAGGCAAGAAGGAGTAGAGATGCACTATGAAGGTGAGGTAAGAGTGTGTTATTGTGGCCTCCTGGCACCTCGCTGGACTTCATGGACTGATAAAAATCCTGGAAGAAGGTTTTATGGGTGTCAAAACTATAACAAGGTACCCTTTTTTTGTATTGATTTGTATTTTTTTGCATTTAATGCTTTAATGAATAAGATTTGAACAACCATTTTTAGAAAGACGGATGTGGGTATTTCGTATGGCATGATGGTAATTTGGGGCATAGATCAAAGATGATAATTAACGAGCTTCTGGACCATATAGATAGGTTGTACGATGAAAGTAATGTGCTGAGAGGAAGAAAAGAGACAGAAGCTTTCATGGCAGAGCTTGATTCACTAGGTGCTATTGTGAAGAAGTTGAAGAGCAAACGTAAGACGGAAGAACTGGTTGGTAAAAATGAGAGAAGAAACTTCAAAATTGTTGTAACACTATTGATCTTATCATGGTTGTTATTTTTCCATTGTAAAATTGTGTAATAACAATTTGACTAATCAAATACTAATCAATTTGCTGCATGTTTAAAACAAACCTTTATGACCCCATAATGTCTCAGAAAAGAAGAGCCTTTAATTAGTAGTATTATAGTGCATATCACACAAGTTCACTCTTGTTTTAAAGAATTCTTTAAGCATTTCACTTATAGGAGTAGAAAAAGTAAAGAATGTGGTCAATTAATAATTCAGATTATTACCAAACTAACAAAGCTTGTCTTTCCTAATATGATATATACAAGTAACAAAGAGAAAAAAAAGCTTGTCCTAGTCGCCTACATCCTACATCCTAAAAAGATCTCAACAAAAAGTTAACTACTAATATGATACAAGTAACAAAGCCTATCCTGGCCACCCACATCTCAAATGATAAAGCTAATGTTTTTACATTCCATGGTCTCTACATCCCTATACAATAGTAAATATATGCATCAACTACAATTGTAATTATTAAGTAATGAACAGTAAGCATAGAACAACAAGAAGCAAAGAAAAGAAAGCTAGGCTACACATTAAAAAAACAAAAAATTGTTAAAGGCATGGAAATGGTCTAAAAGTTGACTTTATAAGATAGACAAGGAATGCTCACATTATAAACAATCCTCCCTATTATCTCATCTACTCTGATACTATAGCCAACCATATTCCTAGAATTAGAGCAAGTCCTGCTATGAGATTGTTGAGTGACTTAACTATGTTGTGTCTGAATCATTGTTTATTCTTGTTGAGTGGTCTCACCATGTATTTCAGTGCTTGATCCTTCTTGCTAAGTTGCTACATGTTTTTCTCTCTTTCTCCCTTTTATCTTACTTGTCGTTGGAGTTGCTTATAGAATAAGCAACTTAAGTAAACCAAATTGAACAATTGAAACAATATTTAACTACTAGAACAAATAGAGGAGATAACTTGTTTACATGAACTCTAATTGTGACCTTGTTGTTTGCACACACTACATATTATTAGAGTTCATCTTTTTTATAATTTATTAGTCACAGTTGGAGGGACAAGGTAGCTTCGACTGTCTTTCAATTCCTTTCACTAGTCTCCTTATGCTTTTTTCTACTCCTTGTCTTGTTTTGTTTGGCCTTTCTGGTAATTTTTCTATTAGGGGTGGCTCAATAGTTGATATCTATCAAACTTCCAAAACTTCTTTCCCTTTACAAGCTTATATTTGGTCTTATATGAAGCCCCATATGCTTCTTTATGGTAATTATGAGATATGTGAGTGCTAGGGTTGACATTTGCATGGAACATTACACAAATACCACACTAGCATGAGATTTTAGTCAGCTCCTATGCTTTACATGTACATTGCCTTTGCTTTAATAACACAGTGTGTTTATCAGGGCTATCACTAACCTCATACCTTATGCTCTAATAACCTATTATTTTCAAACAGTTGCAAATACTTGGGGCTATAGTTTCCCATCTATCTCTTAACAATTTTATCACTTTCAGCCTACTTATTTATCATCTTCAACCTAATGCCTTCACACATTCTAATGACAGGTAAATAATGATATTCATCTATCCAAACATTAAAGCTCTTACTAACATTGTTGTCTACCACCTAAGATTGACACCCAACTGCCAAATAGTCTTAACTAAACTCTTGATAGGATACCTTACCATTGCCTCTATAGCATGCTTACTAATGCATCTAACCTCCTTTAAGTTGTCATAGAAGCCCTCTTTCTATGTACTTCATGTTGTGCCTTGCACATAACCTTTGCTCGGCTTTGGGAGAACATTTCTTACTATGATGTTTAGTCCTTATGATGAAAAGAAGAATTAGCTATTAACATTTCACATAACATCTTATATATATATATATATATATCACCAACTTTTTCAAAATAAAAAATTAAAAATAAACCTTTTGTTTATCAAATATGATAGTTACCCTTAATTTATCACCAAGTACTAGGGAATTCCTAAGCCAACTGTAATAGGGAAAAGGGAATCATTTGTGTCAATTCCAATAATAGTAAGAAGGATCCCTTTTGCATTCCCCTTCAAAAAAGTGCCATCAAAACTAATAAATGACCTACAACCAACTCCCCACCTAACCTAATTCAAGAAAAAACATTATTCAAATATCTTTCTAGCATATGCTAGTCATAAATAGAAACATGTTAAAAGAAAGTTTACTGTAGGTGGATTCCAGCATATACACCCCCTTCTTCTTACGAAGCTTCTTTACTCAATTGTATACTTACATCACTCTCAGGTTCTAAATGTTTAAGTTCATAGCAATAAGCTTTCAATTTCCCAAACTCATCCTTGTAACTACCTTCTAACTCTTCCATGATGATCTTTTTAGCCCTTATACACTTGTACACACTAATACTCACTTTAGATCATGTTCAAGCATCTTCTTCATGTATGCCACTGTGAATGTGGGGTACTCCTGTACTTTATCTTTGAAAAAGTTAGCTATCTATCTAGTAGAAGCCCTATAGTTTGTAAACATCCTAACACACCTATAGTCCATATTGAAGAAAAGGGTATCCCACTTGACATTTGGCCCTTACTCTTCCATGCTCAAATTTTATGTAGTTCAAACTCACCCCAGCTTTGATGGAATATGTGTCTAATACCTTCCAAACTACTATTAGATTAGGAAAAGCCATTCCTACTAAAAAATGAGGCACACTTTGATTTGTTAGACCTATACTTTCCATCCAAAGGCCTATCATCCTCATGTGAGTCTAGCTATGGTCCACTACCTTCATCTTCCTCTTCGTAATCCTCATCACCATCGTTGACACCTTTATCTTCCTCTACAAGGTCATAGTAGTCACTATATTCACTCTCACCTTCACTACCATCTTTACTATTATATTCACTCTCACCTTCACTAACTTCATTAGCATATTCAATGCTCTTATAGGAAATAGAGTTATCATTGCCCTTTTCCTCCTCATCTACAAGCTTATTCTCTTTCCCATTATCATTTCTTATCCCAGCATAACAATTGTGAAGATATTGTTCTGTATTAATACCCCCATCATCATTCTTACTTATACCACTATCAAGTCCTTCAAACACATTCTGCACAAACTTTTCTAAATCTATCACCTCCTCATCCTACATTTTCTTACTCTCGCCACCCACTACTTGTTCTTTATTTTTCTCATTATTTATAATATATGCTCCTGTATCCCTAAACAATTTACGTGAATTTTGTATCTATATTTCCTTAGCATTTTCCATAACAGAGCATACCAGGGTCAAGATTTTATCCACTCCTATCACGCCCTCATCTCTTCACTTTCACTATATTCTTCTACCATGTCCTTCTCACCATTGTCACCATGCTCGACAGCGTCTATTACATTGTCATCATGATTTTCCTTATTAACAGAGTTAACAGTGTCGTCATGATCATTGTTGTTATCTGAAAAACCTAAAGTAATACAATATACATAAGGGTAATGAGGCAATCTCACTATGACTTAAACCACTTGAGTTCATAATACCAAAATCCACCGTCAAACTCACCTCTGGTTCACTTAAGAATGAAATTGCAAGGTCGAGTTAGTCATGCATTCCTCTCTAATTTACAAGATAGGGTTTACTTATTTCCTTTTTAGAAGAAACTATATCATTTTATTATGAAATTTAAGTCATAATGACCAATATACCCTTCAGGCCATCTTTGTAATTCACACATGGCACGCCACTTGGTAACTTTTGATTAAATAATCTTCTCCATAATGGTCAATGTTTCACAAGTTAACAATCAAGTGTAATTTGCTTTGGATTTAGAATACCATTCTGTACATTTCAGAAGTTTAGAGTCCAGGATGCTTTTGACATAATGCTTTAGGGTCCAGAATGATCATTAACCCTATATAATATGTGAATAAAATTTTATAAAAAGCATATACTATATAATAGTTTTTAAAAAAATGTGACATTTTATTAAAGGATTTCATACCTAACCGTCTTGAATATTTCTCTTTCCATTTTTTAATTAAATCTAATTGCAAACATTTATTGATCACTCTAAATATTTTCATATGTTTTTAGGAAATTTTAAGTTCAATTTGGATTCATCTAAATAATTTGAGAGAAATTGAGACTATTATTTGAAAAAATAAAAAAAAAAGTTCTTTTGAATATGAGAAGGGAGAATTGATAATATTTTGTTGAAGTGAATGTATTACTTGAGCTAAACTTTTATTAATAATATTATATTGTGTGTACGGTAATCTAAATTAAGACTCAAAGGGCTATGTGTAAATAAAGATTGAAGATGATGAAAAGGCAAGATTTATGCTACAGCATATCAGAATTACGCTACAGCATAATTCAATGATAGTGGCAGTGACAGTGGGATTTATGCTGTAGCATAACCTGATTATGCCACAGTATAATCATTAGTTATTGAAATGCATAGCTACATGAAAAATTGATATTTGTTTTTGCTCATCTCCAATAAGCCTAAATTGACTAGGGAAGAGTGAAAAATACTTATTTGTGAGGTTTTAAATGTTTTTGCTCATCTCCAATAACCCTAAATTGACTAGGAAAGAGTGAAAAATACTATAGATAAGGTGGAGGTGGAGAAGCTTGGGCTTCATAGGAGATTAGTGGCTTTGGTCTAAAATCACTCCGATTAAGCTTTTCTTCACCTTATTTTCTTCGTTTTGATGTATTCTCTATTTAATTTTGCAATTTCCAAACTTATGTGTGGTTGAATCTTTTAGACCTAGAGGAACTATGAACATATTGATGAATTAGACTTGTTTTTACTCATTAGTTATGCTTAATGTCGATTTTGGTTACTCCATCTTGTGCTTTAATGTCTATTTGGTGCTTGGCCAACAATAAATGTGATTTTGAGTGTTTGGATTTTTTCTTGACAAAGGAAAATCTCTTTTAGACAATTAGATTGAGTAATATGCGATTAAATTTTATCTAATTTGTAATTAGGATAGACATGTACTTAATTATCCCATATAATCATTGTAGAGTGTTCTTGGATTAGGTTGCCTCTTGAGTAATTGTGTTAGAAATAACATAATTAATTTAAGAGAAGGTTGTTAGTAGATTGAAAGACCCTAATAGCTATTAAAACTCTTGATTAACAAAATCGGCTTTGAAATTAATTAATTAGGTTAAAATGGAGTCTAAGACATTAATAGGGGATTAGTAACTCTAGGTTGTTTTTTACTTGCGTGGTTGTTAGATTTAAGCATTTTTTTAATCTTTATTAAATTCATTTTTAATTTTAGTTAATTAACTAGTTTTGATCAATTTTGCTTAAAGAAAACAAAAGTGGGAATTTTATTTCCTAGTCGTTATTTTTGTTGATTCCTCATGGGATCAGCCTTGATGCATTTGTATGTTACATATTGACTGGTAAACTTATGGTCATACATTTTTTTATGTGCATCATTTGTCTACATCAATCCAACAACAATGACAAACTTCGCTTTGTTTGATGCCTTAAGATAAAACTAAAGAATGAGATTAAAAAATATTATTTAATATTTGTTATATTTAACAATTATTATTCAATTACATTTATATTTTTCATTATTTATTTTAAATTAAAAATACGAGTATCATTTTCAAAATTCACATTACATAAAATTGATCTTGTAGAAGCGCTAATACTTTAAGGAGAAATCTAAGGTTTATTTCTTATGGAATAGGCAACCCCCATTAATAATTATTGGAGATATGATCCCAATTGGCATCATAATCATTGATGTCTCATTGATTGCACAATCAGCTTTGGCAAGAAAACTATCATAGGTAGAGACAACCAAACTTACATCATCACTAACTTAAGCAACCACCTTATAAACCCAAACTTGAAAATTTAAGATATGACATCATCCAAGAAGGAACTTTATAGATCATCTTCAAAACTTACATGAACATCAAGCTCAAGATAAACCTCCTTGTTAGTTCCCACAAAAGAATTAATGGTTGAGGAGCCATCATTCACATCGCTAGAAAACCTTGTATCAAAATTCAACATAAGACTGACATCATCATTCATGGCTTGCACATTCATAACTATGTCCAAGGAAATTCTAGGTTTGTGAGAGGGTATCTTCCCGATTTCTATTCAGTTTAAGGTTAGATGGCAATGAGGTTTTGATCTCTAGCAGGACCCATATATAGGTGGACCATTGCTACTTGTCTAGGTGCTTTGATGGCCTAATTGACATGGTTCATAGATCAACAGCAATCACCATTTCAAACAATTACATAACCCACCATGAAAAAGTTATACTTCTAGGACATTGCATTTTGTATGAGAAAGATCAAATAAGGGCATCGGGGAAGAATGCATAGGTAATCTCTCTCTCTTTCTATATATATATATATATATATTAATGTTGTTGGGATATTTGATCTATGTTAAGAAAATCAGAAGACAAGGCTATTAATTTATTGTATTGCTTAGTTCTAAAAGTAGAATGGGAAATGAATTGCAAATGCAAGTTAGAATACTTTTATTTAGTGAACAATGATTACAATTATTAGAAACATTATGCAATTAGAGGGAGCTTTAGTCCCACAATTTTCAATCAAGGTAATATATTTATTGCTCTAGATGATGGAGAACACAAAGAGGTGGGACATATATGTAACATCCATAAAATTTTGCTTTTGGAACTCTAGGAACTTATAGGGGTAATTTGGTAAAATTGATGAATTAAGTTGCTTAGGTTATCAAATTACTAATGGGCTTGTTGGACCTTGAGACAATATTAGGAAAGGGCTAGAATGATTTTAGGCTAACTAGGGGCTTAAGTGGTGAGCCAAGTGACATTGTGGCTTATTGTGCCACACATCATGATACATGCATATTGTGCTATGGTGCGTGACACTTTTTAGAAATGAATCATATGCAAACTGCATTTGATTTTTAAAGGTTGAAAGAGAAGGAAATGAGAGCAATAGCGAAAGTGAACTCTCAAGCTATTAGGGTTTCATATTTTGGCAACTGTAGAGGCTTTCTAAGCTAGTAAATCACTTGGGTAAGTTTCCTAACTCTCCTTCCTCTTCTCATTTTAAATTTTCAAAGGTTTTAGTATAGTTGAGTGATGATTTCATCTCCTCTTGGGTTTTAACTAAACCCATTAAGTTCTTTGAGACTTTAGGGAGTTAATTTAAGTTTCTATACTTAAGTTAAGTGATTTTATAGTGATTAAGATTTTTGGGTTAAGGTTTGGATGAACCTTAAGCCTAAAATGAGAGCTTGGGTGTAATGTGGGTTGTAAACTAGTATTATTAAAGTTTAGAAAGGTTAATGGAAGATGATTTGTGGTTGTTAGGGATTTGATTAATCCAACGATAGAAATGTAAGAGTGGAGTAGTGAAATACAGCCTAAAAGTGTATTTAATAAAGTTATAAATTGATTAATAGCACTTAATCTTGTAGATTAATTATTGATTGGACCCTTTTGAGCTAGTATAAGCTAGAAGAGTAATTAATTACAATGGGTAACCCTTTTATGATAAAAGGGTTCAAGTAATAGATGATTTAATCCATTTACTTGCTTGTTTGGATGATTATGGAATTTGCAAAATACTATTTTATTATTTTGATATATAAAGTATAATTATAAAAGCATGTTTTTTATTTTGAAAATTTATGTGAAGTAGAAATTTTATATAGAATCTTCTTATGAAAATATATGCATGTGCATTAGCAAAAGATGTTTTACATTTAGAAATGTTAACATGTGAAAATGCTTGTCTGGAATTTATGCATGTCTTGATAAGACACATGTATGACATGATCATTATTAAAAGGTATGAGTTCACCCTAAGGGAGTAGAGTTGTCTAAAATTCATATGGTATCTACTACTACCTTAAGTGGCCCCAATGCTCAATTCTACTTATTTGAAAGTTTTAGTATCACCATTAAGATAGATTAGGCATATGACACCTTGAGCATTCAAAAAAGGGAAAAATCTGTGGTCTAAATATGGGTAAAGCCACCTTTAGCCAAGCTGCCTCCTATAAAAGGTAAGTTTAGATCAATCTAGTCATATAGATTTAGTCCTTTTAAATTATTAGCCTATAGATTTAGTTGAAGGTAACACGAAGGATATAAGGAGATTATGATGGATCATGAATTGTTTGAATAAGGGTATGTCTTATGCTTCTTGACTTGTTACTTGTTCTTACTCACTTCACGTATCCAATACTTTCCTAGCATGCTTGTAAATAAGTTAGATTATTTGACTACTGAGACATTGTTCTCACCCTATGGTTACAATTTCACAGGTGAAGGCTCCTATAGGGGCAAAGGGAAGGAAGGCAAAGCTACTAAGGAGTAGGAGTTACCCTTGTATAGCTCTTCTGATTATGTGTAACAATATATATATATATATAGACCATTGCCAACTTAGGACATGCATTACTTTTGATTGCACTTGCATGAGATTATATTGTGAATTTTGGTGTATTTTAGCCTAGGCTGATGTGTATGTAATTAAATTATTGTGAGAAGCTAAAATACTAGTGTAAGTGAATATTATTGGAAGTATATGTGCTTGTGGATGGCCATTGTGATGTGGTGGTGAATTAACACTATTACCCCATGATTAATGTTAATTCAGGTTGTTGTGGCCATATTTTTTGAGTTATATGTATACTTATTTAATTGTTCAATTAGGAGCTTTGTGTTCTATATGAGTTGGTTTAAATAGTCCTTGGTCTATTGGCACTAAGTTTATGGTTTTGGACACCTTGTGTTTGTTTTGGACAGAAAATGTGGCTTTTTGCATCTAGGTGTCTAATTTGAAAATGGTGATTTTTTTTTTGTCTTGAAACCAATTCCAATAGTTAAGCAGCTCTTTAACCTATATATAGACACTTAATTGAATGTTAGACAATGAAACAGCACAATTTAGAATCTGGTTTCAAAATGTTGTCATGATAGTAGTTTATGTGCCATGGTGCACACATTTTGCGCCACAACAAATGACACATGTACCATGGCAGGGCATGCTGAATAGGTAGTTTGCTCTTTTATCTTGCAATGTAATTTCTTCACTACTACAAAAATAAGATTTGTTAGCATGCATTTTATAACAATTAAAATACATTGCTTATCAATTACTCCTCCCGTTAAAAAATGTAAGGTATTTTTAGTCTTTTGAGGTGTAATTATTACCTTTTTTTTAAAGTACCCCTATTGATAATGACTTTATATTTATTGTAGAGTATTTAATAAACGTAGAAATATAGGGTTAGTTTAACAACAGGTAACTATTTTATTGGGGGTGAGATTCAACTAAAAATGCCTTATATTTTTTAACGGAAGAATTATTTTTTATTTACAATTGTAGTAAAATAATAAGAGGTGGTATTTCTTTCATGAAATGTCACAATTTGTTTTTACTAAATAGTTTTGTGGCATTTCAAAAAGAAACGCTACCTAATAATTATGATAATATTACAAAAAATAATTTTATTTATTATAGTTATTATAATTATTATTATACTAATTAATACAACTGATATAATTTAATTTTTATTTTTATTAATGTTCTTATTTTAATTATTGATATAACTATTTCTATTGATTAGTAATCTAAAAAAATTTAATTCTATTTAATCAAGAATTATTTCTATTATAAATATAATAAATATTAAAATATTATTATTAATATTAATACCAATTATAATATAAATTAATTATTTAATTAATAATAATTATTAATATATCATAATAATTTAAAACTAAAAATATAAAATTACAAATATATTTTTTCTACAATTATTTACAATTTCTCTTCCGTCTAAACTGTAACTGTTTTTGAAGTCAAGATATGACTTTACTGCAAATATGATATTTAATAAATAATTTATTTAATTAATCTTATGTGGTGTTTCTCATGAGGAAACACCACCTAAGGATTTTAATTCATTTTTGCGTAATAATTAATTATTTTATTTTAAAATTATTTTTAATAAGTATTTTATAATAAGTGTAATATTTAATAAATATGTAATAGAAATACAACCTATTTATTTTCATTTACTTTATATAAAAAATATAATTTTAACAATTATTTTATAATAAATATTATATTTAATAAATATTTTCTTTAATTAATCTTTGGCGGTGTTTCCATGTGAGGAAACGCCACCTAAGGGTTTCTACTTATTTTATGTAAAATATATATTTTTAATACATATTTTATAATAAATAATATATTTAATAAAAAAATGAAAAAAATTAATTTTTTAGTCTTTCAATTTTTAACTCAATCTTTTCATTATGATTTACTGCATCTCAATTTCTTAACTTTTGACTCACTTATAACTTAATCTTTATTTTTAAATTTTTTTAAAAAATTATCTTTATCAAATAAAAGGGATGAAATAAATACTCATATCTTACTATAAAATACCCTCCTCTTACTTTTTGATATGTGATATAATCTAATATAAAAATAGTGAAGTAACAAAAGTTAAGGGATTGAATTATAAATGAGTTAAAAGTTGAGAGACTAAATCATAAGCAGGTCAAAAGTAGAGAAATTAAGTTACAAATGAGTTGAAAGTTGAAGGGTTAAAAGACTAATTTTTTTTCTAAATTTTATTTAGTTAATCTTGTGTGGCTTGTCCTTCATGAGGAAACGCCATTTAAAGGTCTTAATTTATTTTTATTTGATAGTCAATTATTTTATTTGAGAATTTATTTATTAGTAATTATTTTATAATAAATGTGATATTTAATAAATATTTTATTTCTTAACGATTCAATGCTATGCTTATACGAATAAACACTTTATTTATTAATCTTAGGTGGCTAATCGTTTTCATTTATTTTGCTTAATGATATATTTTTTGCAATAATTGTTTTATAATTAATATAATAATTAATGTTTTTTAAAATACATAATTATTAGATATTGTTTATTAAATATTAAATTTTAAATTTTAAAAAATTATTTAAATGAGAGAGGTGACATTTCTAGGGGATGAAAATGCCACCTCTCTCTTATAAATTAAATTATTTTTCAATTAATGACATTTGTAAGATA